TATATTTTTTATAAAAAAAAAAAAAAAAAAAAAAATTTAAGAAAATGTTAAAGTTAAGAAGATCTACAATAATGTATAATTTATTTTTTATTATTCAGTTTTTTTTCATATAATTTTTTATTATATCTTAATACTTTTGATAAAAAACAATTTTACTGTTTGCTTTTTCACATTTGTATTTTTATAATTGTTTTTAATGTATTCTTTTATTTTATTAATTATACTAAATTATTTCATTAAATGACAAAAATATAGTAAATTAAAAATAACATATAATGTAATGAAACAAATTGAAAAAAAAAAAAAAAAAAAAAAAAAAAAAAAAATTATCATTTTATTAGTAAGGCTATTCATATGCCTTTAAAATATTTTACTAGTTTTACAAATAAGATAGATTATAGTAATAAATATAAAAATATTTTATTAAGTAATAATTATACATATGATACATTCTCGAATTATCTTAAAATTTATAAAATAAACAATTATAATTTTATTATATACGGAATATTACATGGTAATATATCTGAGAAAAGTTGTAGTGGTAAGGATTGTTCTGAATTACTTAAAAATATAAAAGCAGATTATGTATTATTAGAATTATGTGAAGATAGATTAAATAGAATATTTAATATTATTTCTAAAAAGAAAAATAATTACAATAATAATTATTCTAAATTCACTTATTTACCAAGAATACATAATGGATTTCTGCAAAATGAATTTTCACCAATTATTGAGGAATGCTTAAAAAATAACCTCAACATTTTTCCATATGATAGAAATATGAATATTATAAAAAATAGATTAGATTTAAAACTTTTATATGACACTAAAGCATATAGAAAATTTTTTACCTACTGCATCGAATCAATATCATTGAGACACTATCCATACGATGTTTTTGTTAAACTGTACAATGATTATAATATAAATAAAATTAAAGAAGAAACAAAAGATGCTCATTTGAAATTACAGGTGGATAATGAGAATAAGACTAATTTAAGTGATGAAGAAAAGAAAAATAATATGAATGAAAATCCAATCCTAAATATATATGAAAGTTCTGAATGCTTAAAAAAATTGAAAATGTTAAATCTTTTAAATGAGAGATTAAAGTCTCTTTCTAAACCTACATATGATATCCTGATAGATGAAAAATGCAAATATGCTTCAAGTAATATTTGGGGATTTCTTTTAAATAATGAAGAAAATTTTTTCGCAAATAATTCTACGAAAAATATAGTTATTGTATGTAGTGCAAATATACAAGAAAAATTAATTGAAGAATTAAATATAACATATATTAATTTAAATAAAAAATATAATAATAAAAATCATGAGCACTTAATTTATGAAAATCCATACAGTTCTTATAATCATTATGTCAAGCCTCATTGGCCCCTTATATTTATTAAATATTATTTTATTCCTTATTTTATCTTATATATTATTTTAAATATTTTGTACTCTTTTTGTTCATGGATTTATAAATCTAATTTTCAAAAGAACTCAATAGATTCACGTAAAATAATAGATATAGAAGTCTAAAATACCATATATACTATATAAGAGGGATCATCTTTTCTTTTATTATAAAAGAGATCTCATAGTTTCCTTTATATACTTATTTATTTATTCACTTTATTTTTATATTTTATTTATATTTATCTCTTTATAACATTAATTTTAAAATGAATAATAGATGAATAATAATAAATTATAATTTTAAATATTAATTCATAAACAAAATACTATCTTTTTTTTCATTTCATAAAATTTTGACACATTTTCCAAAAAAATATATTTTTCTTACAATTTAATTCTTTAAATAAAGCATTTTTTTTTTTTTTTATAGAATACTTATTTATATAATAATATTTTGTATCATTAATATTCAATTATAAATATTTTTTTAGCCTTATTTTTATAAAAAGAAATTAATGTGCGAATTCTAGTTTTTTTTTTTTTTTTTTTTTTTTTTTTTTATAATTTGCAAATAATTATTTTTTGTTATATTAATCTTTTTTTTTTTTTTTTTTAATTATCCCTTTTGAAATAAAACAGAAATTTTCGTTTTTGCTTTTTTAAATGATATATTCTTTAATGTGTTATGTTTTTTCAATTCTTAAAAATTTCATGAACACATTAATTTTTAAAGAACTTTAATTATTTATGTTATTATCCTTATAAAAAAAAAAAAAAAAAAAAAAAAAAAAATTATATATATGTAATATAATTATATACTTCTATGTATTAAGGTATATTTTTAAATTCCTATAAATGTCATAATTAAAGGAGTATTTCTTTCAAAGAAGAAAAAGAAACTATGAGTGATTCAAAAAAAATTGGAAAATTTATAGTTTTGGAAGGACTTGATAGGTTGGAATGTTTAAATACTATTTTATAAGAATTAATAAAAAAAAATTTTTAAAAAAGAAAAATTAAGAATAAAAATATAATTGTTTATATTAATATTTTTATAATTTCTAACCAAAATAAAAATTATTAAAACATTTCTCTAGGTCCGGAAAGTCAACACAATCAAAATTATTAGTGGAATATTTGAAAAATGAAAATATTGAAGTTAAACATCTTTATTTTCCAAGTATTCCATTTAAATAAATAAAATAAGGAATATAAAATATTTTTTTAATAAATGAAATCATTTTAGGATAAAAATAAAAATGAAACAATAAATTTATTTCTTTAAGACAGAGAGACACCTATTGGACAAATAATTGCAAAGTATTTAAAAATGGAAAATAGTATGCCAAATGAAACAATTCATTTATTATTCTCAGCAAACAGATGGGAACTAATGTTATAAATCATTTTTTTTTTTTTTGTTTTTTCTTTCTATTTTTTCTACTGAACCTTATATATAGTTAATTTCAAATTCATTTTCATTTTTCTTTTTTCTTCTTTTTCCTTTTTTTTTAAATATATTAGGAATGAAATTAAAAGTTTACTTCTAAGAGGAGTATGGGTTGTTTGTGATAGATATGCATATTCAGGGGTAGCTTATTCTGCTGGAGCTCTGGTTTTAATTATTAATACAATTATTTTATATTCATTTTTTTATATATTTATTTACATATATGTTGTTTTTATTTTTAAGAATTTAACAAAAAATTGGTGCATGAATCCAGATCAAGGTTTAATAAAACCCGATATTGTTTTTTATTTAGATGTTCCACCTAATTACGCTCAAAATAGATCTGAATATGGTTACATTAAATAAATTTTTTTTTTTTTTTTTTTTTTTTTTTTTTTGCTATAAGAATTAGATATAATTATTTTATAGTAAATAATTTTAAATATTATATTTAATGTTTTTAAAAAATTTTTTTTTTTTTTTTTCTTTATACAACAAAATTTTAAGGCGAAGAAATATATGAAAAAATAGATGTTCAAAAAAGAATTTATGAAACTTATAAACATTTTTCAAAAGAAGACTACTGGACAAACATTGATGCTACAAAAAATATTGATGTAACAAAAAAACAAAAATTTTAATAAATTAGAAAATGTTGTACAATTTATATTAATATATATTATATATCTTCATAACCTATATTTTAAAAAATGCATATTAAATATTTTAATTTTTATAAACTATAGGAAATACATAAAGACATATTAAAATATATAAAGAAGTTAAAAATAGTTAAAGAACAACATTTTAAGTTTTTATGGTCATAAATATTAATTATTTTAGAAATATTTTAAAATAATTATTCTTTATTTAAATAAATAGAAACTTTATGTTATTTTTGTTTTTAATAAAAATTTTTGTACATTTTTGTTTACATTTACACATTAGCACTTCCTTTTTTTTATATTTACCATTTTATCATTTATAAAAGATAATAAAAAAAAAAATTTAATTTGTTTGTTTTTTTACTATATATATATATATAAGTGCGAGTGTGTGTGTGAGGCTATGTGAAAGTTATATAAAAAAAAAACTACAATCTCTATAAAAAATTATTCAACAAATTTTTTAGTTCATAAGGTTTATTCTGATGAAAATATAAAAAAAGAATATAAATATATATTAATAATACAAATTAAAACATATGCTATTGACGATTATATAAAACTTAGAATATTGTGTCATTAAATAAGAAAAAAAAAAAAAATTTTTTAAAGGAATATATATATAATATATAATGATTATGTCTAAAAGTAATTAAATTAAGTCAAAAAAAAAAAAAAAAGTCCAAATTTTTTGAATTTCACATGAAATATATGTATGATTAAAAAATGTTAGGTTAATAATTAAATATACATATATATATATATCTGTATTTAACTAAAAACAATATAAAAATAAAAATTAAACAATTTAGGAAGAATGAATAAATATATATTATTTCTTTTAAAAAAAAAAAAAAAAAAAAAAAAAGGAAAAAAAAGAGAATTAAATATATATAAATATATAATAGCCAATATTACTTTATATTATAAAGAATTAAGATGATAAGAAATAATTGCTAACAATTTTTTTTTTTTTCTTTTTCTTTTTTTGTTATAATTTAAATAGTTATCCTTTATTTTGCGTTGTAGTAATTTTGGGTATATATATATTATGTTTATTCAGCTATTTCCTTATTTTCATAAGTACACTGCTCTAATTGTTCATATTCTTTTGTTTCCTCCACTTCATTTTGACTCCATGTCTCATTATCTTCATTTAGAAACTTATTTCTTTTTTTGCATAATTTCATATGCGTAACATTATCAAAAAATTTATTAAGATTGTCTTTAATTTTGTTTCCTCTTTCATTAGTTTTAGTACTGTCTTCTTTATTTTTAATCTGTTTTTTCAGGTTATTTATAGTATTTTCAAGATATTTTATATATTTTTTGTTTTTTTCATATTCTTCATAATAAAACTTATTATCTTTCTCAATTTTTGATATCTCATCTTCTTTAAAACTGTTGTTACATATAATTATATCACCATTCAAGCTTTCTAATGAATTGTCGTGTTCGTTGTTCTTTTTAAAAAAAGTTAACCTTTTTGTAAATTGTCTAATAATGGAACTCTTTTTAGGTGCTATGGGATCCTGTATGATAATACTTTTAAATGATTGAGGAATGCTTTTAAATTTTTTAGTAATTTTTAAATCATCATTTGTCAGTTCATTTATTCCTATTCTTTTAATATCTAAATCTACTCCATCCACCCAATTCTTTGAATCATACTCAGGATCATGAACAATTATAGGAGGATATAAGTCCTTTTGAAAAACAGAAGAATTTTTTCTAGGAACAATAAAAGATATAGGTCTTATGGAATTATTATTTTCATTTTTATAAACCCTTCCAAGTTCACATTTATATATATCACACATCTGTTTTGGTAAAAAACCAAATGATCTAAAAGGTAAATTGGATTTATATTCTTCTACTTTATGTATATTACCTTGTAAATATTGATAATATCTACAATTACCATCACCTTTTCCAATTAGGTAAACTATTCCTAAGGTTTCATCATAAAAAGGAAGTAAAGGTGCTGAAGCATTATCTAAAGATATAGAAGTAAGTGGGGTTGATGTATTTTTAAGATCCCATAGTTTTATTTCCCTCATATTATCTTTTGAGAAACCAGTACTCAAAACACAGTTATCATCTCCACATAATCCATCAATCCATGTACTTTTTACACTCTTACCTCCATTATGCACACCAAAACTGAAACAAATTTCTTTTTTTCTTGGGTCAATGATATGTAAATTTTTATTAAGACATGCACCACTTAACAAATTTCCTCTAATATTCCATTTTAAAGAAGTTAATTTTTTAGGCATATTTATTTGAAAAGCTTTTTTTTCATTTTCTATATCCCATATATTTAAAAAGGAATCAAAAGCTGTAGAAGCTAAAATATAGTAACTCATGGGATTCCAATCAATAATTGAAACTTTTTTTTTGTGTCCTTTTAAAATACAAGCAGGGTTAGTAATTTCTGTTATATTCTCATCTTCATAAGGTAACTCCCAAATTCTAACAGTTAAATCTTCTGAACTTGATGCAATAATTTTACTATAGCATGGATTAAAGGATAAATCCAATATGTTAGCTGTATGACCTTTCATTTTTATTACTGGAGGATTTTTAATTTGATCCTTTAATCTAATAACCCCAAGCATTCCACCTCCTTCAACTTCCCATGGAGTCTTCAAAAAAAAAAAAAAAAAAAATATTTGGATATATCCATAAAGAAATTATACAATATAAATATATCAATATTTTTTATTTAAAAATCTAAGAGATAAATTTTATATTTTCTAATGCATTTTTATGAAATTTTTATCATTATAAATTTTTAAGAAAAATAAGATCTTGTATAAAATTATTTTTTATTTCTATTTACAAATATCTTTTGTAGACATTTTATTTCATTATTTTTTTTAATTATATAATTTACCGCTAAATATACGGTACTACATGCTATTCCACATGATTCCGTAGCTCTTGTGCAGATTCTTAAATCTCCGAATAATTTATTCGAAGGCTCCGCTAAAAAAAAAAATTTTTTAAATTATATAAAAAAAAAAAGAATACTATACATATACATATACATACATATATATATATATATATATATATATATATATATTATTAAATATATATAAATTTTTTAAAAAAAAATTATTATTATGTTATCTATCATTATTTCTATTTCAATTTTTTATTTAAATTCAGTTGTAATTGTTAAAGAGATTTATATGCACATTTTTTATGCATTTAATTTAGTTTTATCTATAAAAAAAAAAAAAAGACAATGTGTTATATATTTTTTATATCCTTACAGTATAAATTTTTTATATGTGGAGTGTTATTCATTTTTTTCTAGGGAAGTTTTTTGTATATTTAAATGAGTTATTAAAAAAATTAAAATTTTATTAATTTTTTAAACCATGCCATAAAACAAGCATTATATTTTAAAAGAACAAATAAATGTAAATAGAAAAAAAAAAAAAAAAAAAAAAATATATAACTTTAATTGTGAATTCTTTATCTTTTTTTTATTTTTATATATTAGCTCTTAAAAAATAGTAGTATTATTATAATGCCAAAAAAAAAAAAAAAAAAAAAGGAAAGAATATATCTATATTAATATATAGATCATTACTGTATTAAATATATTTTTCTTATTACATAGAACATAGTTATTAAAAAATTATCTAAATTAAAATAAAAATTTTTTCTTATTTGTCTAATTATATATATATATTTTAAAAAGTTAATTTAAAGCTCTTTTAAATTTTTAAAGTCTTATATACATTTATATTCTCTAATTCTTTCTTATTCTTACAGCTTTAACTAAAAATATATCTATATATATATATATATCATCAATAGTGAAGAATAAATTTTTTTTTTTTTATATCATTAATATAGACGAATAAAAAACTTAAGTTTACACACAAAATTGGTTTTAGTTTATAAATACTTTTTTAAGTTTTTACAAATTCATGCAAGCTAAAAAAAAATATTACAAAAAAAAAAAAAAAAAAAACAAGCAATCTATTTTTTTCATTTAACGCTAATGAAAAAGATCTTACTCTTTTTTATTTTACTTACAACAGCTAAATAAGAAAAAAAAAAAAAAAAAAAAATTAACAACTAAAAAAAGAAAAAATGAATTTAATTTTTCTTTTAATCTTAATATTTTTTTAAGAATATATTAAATAAAAATTAAATTAATTGTGAAATATAATTTTCTTTCAAAAGTTTTACGTTTATTTTTTTTTTTATTTTATAAATATAAGATAAGCTTTTAGATCTGTTCTTAAATAATCATATATTTTCTTTATCATGCTTCTTCAGATAAGTATAAAAAAAAAAAAAAAACAAGAAATAAAGTATTTGCATGTATTATTAATATCTGTATTTTTTATTAATTTTAATTTTCCAATTTTAGAATAAAAAAAACTAGAATGATTTTATAATAAACTTAAAAAAGTTCGTGAGGTTTATAATTCCTATCAATAAAACAAATATATAAAGTTAAAAAGACAAAAGCTACTAAAAGTACTACCGAATAACAAATAAGAGAAATATATACTTGTTTCCCTGATATCACATCAACTAACGAATCCTTTTATAAAAATAAGATAAAATGTTATTTATATATATTTAATGAAAAAAAAAAAATAAAGCATTAAAATATATTATTAATAAATGTAATATTTTGTTATATATATATTATATTACTATAGCTCCCCACGCACATATAATTCCTAATATACAAAAAATATAATCTAAAAATTAAAAAAAAAAAAAAAATTTAATTTATATAAATATATATATATAAGAATATAATTCATAACTATAAAAACATTTTTTTTTTTAAATAGAAACATAGTTAAAATGTAAAAGTAAAAAAAATTATCTAAAGAATTTATTTAGTTTTTATAATATAAAAATATAAATTATTAAAAAGATAATATATATTTTTACTTAATAAAAAATTTTGAAAAAAAGATACATGGATCAAAAATATAAAATATAATTTATATAAAAGCACAAATAATGAAAATAAAATTTCATTGTATAAAACATGTAATCAATTTTAAATAAATAGATAACAAATACTATATAAAGAAATGTGTGCATAAAAAATATTTAAAAATTGTTAAATTTCTTAATTTTATAAAACCATAATTTAAAAAAAAAAAAAAAAAACAATAATATATTTTCAAATTGTAAAAAATTTATTTAAACGCCTTTATTTATATATATACATAATACATATATAAATTATATAATTTTAACAAAAATTTAAAGTATTACTAATTGAGCTAAAAATTTTTTTAGAATAATTATTAATTTTATTATTATTTTTATTATGTCCTTTCTTGTATTTTAAAATATGTCTATTTTTCTCACAAGAAATTTCTGAATTTTTCTTGTCACAAGAATTTTGGGTTTCCAATTTGGTGCTTCTAGTTTTCTCGGACGAATTAGAATTATTTTGAGATGAGTTATCACTTTTTTTTCCCATCTAGTTCTTAAATTTATATTTCTTACAAATTGTATAATTTTTTAGTTCATTTTATAGGAAAAAGAATTATAGATTTTAAAACTACAAAGATTATAAATTAAAAATTAGTAGTTTTAATATAATATTTTCGTGCAGTTTAAAATTCCATATAAAATAGCCTTAATTTATGTCATATATATAAAGAAAAAAGAAAAAAATCGAATTTAATAAAAAAAAAAAAAAACATAATAATTATTTTACATTTAAAAACAAAAATACTATTTTTTTTATAATTAAAAAAAAAACTTGTTTAACATTTAAATAATAATAATAAAAAAAAAAAAAAAAAAAAAAAAATTAAATCAATGCAAGTTTAAACACGACTGAAAGAATTTCTTCATATAAAATTAAATTAGATTTTTTTACAAAAGTATATTTTTTAATTAATGTTTATAATTCTATAAAGAATATACTTATATACATTTTTAATTAAAACAAATATATGAAGAATTATTTATATTTTGTTTACGTTTATATATTTTTTCTTGTGTTTTTGACTCACATTTAGCAAAAAGTTCAATAGTTGTTTAATTATTATATAATATAAAAAAACAATATACATTTTTATTTAATAAATAGTTTAGTCTTCGAAGATTAAATTTATCAAATAATGAAGAAAAAAACATCATGTGCACAATCATATATGAATAGAAAATTTTTAATTTTTAATTATATATTTTGTTTTATAAATATAAAAATTAAAACATTAAAAATTTTAGAAGAAAGTATTTTTATTGTAAAAAATTTTCATTAAATGTAAAAATAGAAATATAAAATCTAAATCTCAAATTTTTAAGATTTATTTATATAAGAATGTAAATCTTTGTTTATATAATAGTATATGTTATTATTAGAAAGAAAAAAAATGAATAAACTTTTTGTTATTTTGTTAACACAAAATATTTATCATTTATGCAACAAAGGATGTAAAAGTAAAATTTCTAAAAAAACTATTTTTTTATATATAATCATTGACACAAAGAAAAACTTAAAGCTTTTTGTTTTTTTTTTTATTATTATTATTTTATTATATTTTATAATTCAAAAACATTGGAATTAGAAATATTAATTATCTTATGTATATAGATTTTTTTAAATAAGTTATGAACATCATTATATATATTATTTTTAAAGACTCTATATAAAAATAAATACTACAATTGTATATTTTTGTGTAAGATAGGGAGGATAATTATTTTCTTAATTATAAATAAAAAAGAAACAAAAAAAAAAAAAAAAACGATTTTATATGTAATATTAAATTAATAATAAGAAAAAAAAAAATAAAAACATATATTTTTTTTTCTCAAAAATATGCAAAAACAGTTCACGGAAGAATTTCTCTTTTATATTGAAAATATATAAATACAAAACATACATTTAAAAAAAGTTTATAAATAAATCAATAAAATTTTAAATATATATTAGTAATCGAAAAAAAAAAATATATATATATATATATATAAAAAGAAAAATATAAGTAAATTCTTTTTAAAAATGTGTAATAATATATTAAAAAACAAAAAAATTATTACCATTTTTTTTTTTTTTTTTTTTTTTTTTTTTTATCCTTCATGTAATTATATGAAAGTTATATTTATGTTAGAATATATAAAAAAAAAAACTCAAAGCTATTTTTAAAAAAAAATATCAACAAGCATATATATGCACTTTTTTTTATTTTTTTTTTTTGCTTTTTTATACGAAATTTAATTTTAACCATTTTATAATTATTTTTAAAAATTAATTATCAATCTTAATTCTATTTTATTTTTACCGTTAATTATTTTTTTTTAATTTCACCATATATATATTAGAACTAAATATTATGAATTTGTCTAAGTTATTTTTCTTTAAAATTATAAAATTTTCTTTATATATATTTTGATTATATTTTTTATATTTAATATCTTTTACAGTTTAATTATACATTTTAAAAGTGCTGCTTTTTATATTATCATTATTTTTTTTATTCTGTAAATGTATATTTATTTTATCTTGGTAATGAAGAATCAAATTTTTCTTATAAATTATATTCATTTCTTATTTTTTTTAATTTTTATTATTTTCTGAATCATTACCAAATATTACTTTATCAAAAATTATTTTTTCACTTTTAATTTTTTTTTTTAATTTTTCTTTGTGTTTGATTTCCCTATGAGTAGTATCTATGTCTTTTTTTATTTTTTCTTCTTTTTTATTATCAATCATATGGAAAGAAGGAGATGATAGTTTAGAATCTTTTGTGTTTCCTTTGTTAGTTGAAGAATTTTTTTTATAATATTCTTTCTTTTCAATACTTTTAAAGGATTCTTCGGTTTCATAATACTTATTACTACCAGAGCAAAAATTCTCTAATATTTTAATTCTTTCTTGTAACTCTGAAACAGACTTTTTTAATTCTATATTTTCTTCTTCAGTTTTTGACAATCGTTCTGATATATCGTTTAATTGTTCTACGTTTTCATATGTATTAATTTTTAAACTATTATTGGTAGTACTTTTACTTTGCTTGTCACTCTTTTCATCATTAATTTTTTTATTTTTACTAGACTTAAAAACATTAAAAAAGATATTTTTTGCTTTCAATTTTTTCTCATTTTTTTCTTCTGGTATTTGATAGTTATTAATGGAATTATTTTTACTAAAAGTAGAATTTCTAGAAGAATGATTGTTAGATTTGATAGGATATTTAAATTTTTCTGATAGAGTATTAAAAATAGAGTTATAACTAATATTATTATTATTATTACACTTTTTGAGTAATGCTTGTTCTTTTTTATTTGAAATACTTAAAAATTCCCTTCTTAAAATTGGTTTTTCAACAAAATTTACCCATTCATTAGTAGTGAAAGTAGGTTCTACAATAAGATCAGGGTATAAATCTTTTGGAAATTGCTCTTTATTTTTTCTAGGAACTATAATGGAGCTCATATAAATAGTTCTAGACTCCATTTTAAACACTTTTGCTACTTCACATTTTGAAGTTATGCATTCTGTTTTTGGAGCAAAACCAAAACCTGCATGAGAAAATCGAGATCTAGCTCCTGTTAACGGTTTAATGTTACCACATGAATAAAAAAGAAAACGATTAATAGTTTCTCCTTTACCTAATAAAACAATAATACCTAATCCTTCGTCATAATAAGGATATAAAGGAGAAGGTAAAGAATCTAAATCAATTACATTTATGGGATTATTGATATTACGTATATCCCATAATTTTACTTCTCTACAGTGATTTATACTAAATCCTGTTGAAATAATGTTGTATTTAGTTCCAGATAACCCATCAATCCACATGACTTTTGGTTTTTTAGGATCTTTATGAGACTTTACACTAGTTATTATTTTATTTAATCGTACGTCAATTATACTTAATTTACTATTACCATCAATATATGATAATAAAGAACCATCTAAATTCCATTTACAACATAATGGGGCCTTATTTAGATTCAAACTGAGAATACTTTTTTCGTTTTCTACATCCCAACATATAATTTTTTGATCTTGACCAATAGACACAATTGTATTATTTACTACTGGATTCCAATCTAAGGATGAACATCTTTTTGAATGCCCATTTAAAATACTAGAGTGAGTCATTTCATCATTTAAATTATCTGTATTCCATATTAATATGCTTCCATCTAGATAGAATAAATATAAGTGTAAATTTATATATAATGTATGATAATGCAATATAAATAATACATTTAATATATGTAATATTTTAAAAAAAAAAAAGAAAAAAAAAAAAAAATTCATAAATCAAATATATTTTATATATGTAATATAAAAAAGTGTTGAAAATATATTTTTTTTTTTTTTTATTCTTGCTTCAACAAATATTCAATTGAAATAAAATTAAAATTTTTTTATTTATATTATTTTTGTTTATTTATTTCTGTTTATATTTTCATGTATTTTTTTTTTTTTTTTTAATTTCTACAATCATATAATATATATTTTTTTTTCATTTTTCCCATGTTTAATAATACATTAATTATGTCTAATAAACTTTTTCTCTATATATGTATGAATTATCACGTGTCTAATAATAAAATTATTAAATTTTTTATTTCTTACCATCTCCAGTTGATGCTATTATGTTTTCATGATGCAAATTGTACTGAATATCTTGAATTACTCCTTTATGCCCTATTAAAAAAGGAAAAGTAAATAAATAATTTCTTTTTTATATTATTTTTTATTTCCTTAATAAATCTACCTCTCAATTTATATATTTTAGGATTTTTTTTTGAAGAATCCAACTTCATTAATCCAATGATTGTTCCTTCAAAGGATGATAATCGAAACTGAAATAAAAATTGTATAAAAATAGAAAGTTAGTTTATCAATTTTTCTTTTAGAAAATAATATATTTAATATTTTTATAAAAGAAAAATTACAGCTATAGCTTCCCTTGAACAAGCAATTCCTTCAAATTCTATTGGTCTACTACACATAGTTACATTGCTATAGTACTCCTTGTAATCTTCTACTTCAATATGAATTTTATTTAATTAGTTTTTTTTTTTTTTTTTAGTTGTAGAATTAAATTTTTATTATGAATATTTCTTTTTAAATATAATAATCAAATACTATTTAATATATAGACAATGCATTTTTTTTTTTTTTTTTTTTTTTTTTTTTTTTTTTTTTTTTTTATTACATGATAAATTCTTAATTACCGCATGCTCCATGGTTTTTTATCTAATAAACCAGAAAATATGTTTTCAATTTTTCTTTTAAGAAAGTTATAACTTAAAGTGAGCTAATTAAAAAAATTCTCATTAATCTTTAGTTGATTGTTTAAATTTATAATTGTGATTTATTGTTTAAAATGATGTCTTTATTTTATTTTCTCTATAATATAGTATGAGAACTATTAATAAAATACAATTGTTGTTGTATTTTTATAATTTGACAAAAAACTATGTTGTCATCTCTTAGATAAATAAATTTAAAAAAAAAAAAGAAGATACAATATAAAATGTTATTTTAAATATAGTGGAAAATAAAAATAAAAATAAAAAAGTTTTGTATTTTCCTTTAAACTAGCTATATATGTACATTAAAATAATTATTTACTAAAAGGTATGATATTGGTTTTAAAAAAACATCATTCATATTTTTAACATAAAACAAATGATCAAAAATTTAAAAAAATTATTCAAAATTATGTGCAGAGAAAACAAATAATTCGATTTTCATTTAAATAAAAAAACAGTAAAATACACTATCTTAAAAAAAAAAAAACTAATTTTATGGTTTTTTTTTTTTTTTTTTTTTTTTTTTTTTTGCTCAATTCTGTATATACTTTAATAAATATGACAATGAAAAAAAAATATATATATATGTGTATGCAATTTGCTTACAGGCTTTGAATATAAAATTTTAAAATTAGTGGATCCTTTTAATAAAATTTTTGGACATTTTTAAAATTGAAATGAAGAAGATATATTTATATATTAATAGAAGTTTATTTGTAAATATAAAAAATGTTACTAAAATATAAATAATAAACCACAAAATTGATAAGTTAATAATATATTTTTGGTAAAAATTTTTTAAATAAAAAAAAATTAATACAAAAAAGGAAAGAAAAAAATAAATAAAATCAAATAAATGTATTCATACATTTATAATATTAAATTAATGTGTTATGTGCAATAAATTTTTGCACATGTTTTTTAATTCATAAAGTTCATTAGAAAACCAAATTTTAATTTTAATAGTAAAAAAGACATTTTTTTTTTTTTTTTATATTGAAAGATATTATGAAATAATATAATATAAATTTAAAACATAGACATAATTAAGTAGTCTTAATTACTTATGTAGAAATCTATACAACGTAAAGTTATACAAATTTTTTATTATTCTAATTTTTGTTCTACTATTTATAAAAAATTTGGTAATTTCCTTTTAGCATTATTTAAACAATACAACAACTCTATATAAATTTATTTCATGTTTTATTTTTATTATTTAAAAAGAAAATTTTCTTTTTACATTTATTAAAAATATTTTGTTTTTTTTTTTTGTTATGTTCTCTAAAAGTAAAAGTATATATATATATATATTAATCTTTAACAATAATGCAGCTTACATAGAATGTTTTCCTTTTTTGAAAACATTGAAATATTTCAACAGTTTTAATAATATACAAATTTATATATATTTTAAAATATCATAATAAAAAATGATAGTAGACTTCAAAGAAATTTTTTATTTATATATAACCATAAATGCTATTTGCCTGGTAAGGTATACTTTTCTTTCTCTTATATATTCATATATATTTTTTGTTATTTCATTTTTGTTATGTTTTTTTATTTATATAAGAAAATTTTCATTGAGAATAGTAATGAATTATTGCTTGCTTGGTCTATGTTAAAAAAAAAAAAATATAAATTTTTTAGAGTTTTCTTCATTTTAATAACTCTTGTTTCATATATACATGAATATGCTGAAATAGAAAAAATAAAAAAATATACCTTAAACATATTAAAAAGAAAAGTTAGTATTTTCTATTCCTTTTTTTCTTTTAAATTTTTTATAATTTTTGTAATTTACATTAAAAAAAAAAATATTTTATGTTAATACAACTCAGAAGGATTCTCTTAAATTCCTATTTTACAATATAAAAATATAAATTATAAGAAAAAATTAGAGACCTTATTAAATAAAATTTATTTTAAAAATATATTATTACAAAATATAACTTCAAATTATTTAATTAATAAATTTTTTTCTATTTTTATTTTTTGAAAATATAATTTACACTTTTATATGTATACATGTACACGCACATATATATGCACACCTTTAAAGTTTTCATTTTCTTATTAAAAAATATTTACAAATAAAATAATTGAGAGAAGTTTATAAATTTGTTCTAAAATATAAAAAAATGTTATATAAATAGATGTCTTTTACTAATTCAAACTTTTGATTTTATGCAAACTTCCATTTTTTTTTTATCTTTTTTTTTTTTTTTTTTTTTTACATTTCAAATCTGATTTCAAAAATAAATTAAATTTCCTTTTTTAATATTGATGTACTAAAGATAAAAGTGTTAAATTTTGTATATTCAAAAAATTATATTATTTTTTCCTATCATTAAAATAAAATACATTATCAAAGCTATATTTTGAATATTTAACAAAATGATTAAAGTGTTGTTTTTTTTTTTATTACTGTCTACTTTGTTTGGTTCTCAAAGTTTACAGTAAATATTTATATTTTTGTCTTTATTATATATAAATTATTAATATTAAAAAAAAAAAAAAAAAATGATAAATATATAAATAAGTAAAGGGAGCATAAAATATAATAATTTTTGATAATTCAATTTTAAAATCGTTTCAAAATATAAAAAAATAAGAGATACATTATTAAATAAATATATTTTTATTTTATTTCTTATTTATTATATTCTATATTTTTTAGAAAACAAATGCCAATTATTCGATGGGGACAAAATTCTTATCAGCTTACATTAATTGTTTCTATTCCATTGATTGAAAAAGAAGAAGTTAAATTCAATGAAAAGTTATATTTGGAAAAAAAAAAATAAATAAAAACTTATTTATATTGTATTATTATATCTAAAATATTCACGAGAACTAAAATTATTTGTAGAATGTATTTCATTTCAATATTAAAGAAAATTATACATATATATATTTCTATATTTAATTTTATTTTTCATTACTTGTACTTTTATACTTATTTCTTTGATAATTCCCTTTTTTTTTTTTTTTTTTTTTTTTTGAGTATTTTTGTTTAAAATATTTTTGAATATTTTGTTTTATTCATTTCTAAAAACATTTTATGATACAGATTTTTTATTATTCTTTTTGAAACATTATAATATATTCATAATTTAATTTATCTTATTAGTAATATATATCTATCAGCTATAAGTAAACATGGTGAAGAGTACGAATTAAATTTAAATTTGCTAAGAGAAATAATTCCAGAGGTTTTTGAGATATATTATTATAGAATATTTCTTTATATATTCCTATATACATATATTTTTTTATATATTATATATCCATTGTTTTTTATAAAAATTTTATTCAGAAATGTTCTTATGCTTTATCAGAATTAGGATTGAAATTAAAAGTTTACAAAAAAGCAAAAGTTAACTAATGAATAATTTTTCTTTTTTTTTTATTATTTTTATATAAATTTTTTTTTTTTTAACATGATTAACATTTCATTTTTTATTAGGAACCTTGCTGGATACGTTTAACGAAAGAACAACATAAAAATAATTTTTTAATTAAAGACAAAAAACTTAGTGATGCAAATGAGTAAAACTGAAAATATATATATATATATATATATGTAAATATTTTTGTTACATTTTGTAAATCAAAATTTTTTGGAGTATACAGATTATATTATTTTATACGCATTGTATATATATAAGAAATTTAATTTAAAAAACATAACTAACGAATTTTCTACGTTTCTTATTTTATATATCTTTTTATACAGTTGTGAAGAAGCAAAGGATACTTGGCTTGAGAACTACAAGTAATCAGAATTTTTTAAATAATAATTTTTCTTCTTTAAATTAATTTACAACTAGATAAACATGTTTTTAATTCAATAAACTACAATTATAAAGCAATATATATATATATATATATATATATATATATATAAACATATATGAGTACTCATTTGTATATTTATATTTAGGCTTTACATAAGAAAAAATAATCCTCAAAATAATGAAAAACCAACTAAAAAAAATGATATAGTACAGGTGAAAATTTTTAAAAAAAATGAAAAATATTACATGTCTAATAAATAAAATTTTTATTTAATTACATTTATCTAACTAAAAATTTGAAAATTTTATCTTTTTTTTTCTTTTAATTATTTACAGAATATAATTGAGAATTTAAAAAACGTTCATCCAAATTTTTCCCTACATGAGTTCTAAATATACAAATTTCTTTAAATAACGAAAAACAAATACAATTTTATAAAATATTTTATTATAATTAAGGGATTTTTTATTTTGCATTTTTATTTTTTTCATTTTCATTTTCTTATCCTTTATCTTTTACTATTATTTATATCAACCTTTTATAATATAATAATTTTTGTATTTTTAATACAAATTACAAAGAATCTATCATAAAATAAAATTAGAAATCTTATTTATTTACTTTTCTCTTTCTATATTTATACCTATGGTTATTTTATTCTACTTATAGCTAAAAAGAATAACAAAAAAAAAAAAAAAAAAAAAAATTCAGCATTAAAAATTTCTACCTTCATGATTTGAATTATTTCATTGAATACTTTAGATATTAATTTTGTATTATTATATTCAACTACATGTGATATTCATAAAGAGTTTAGTATCTTTTTTCTTGTGTTGTTGATATTAAAAAGGATTAAACAAAATAATTATAAAAATATAAAATATTTACAATATAGGTAAAATAATTTTAAATAACATAATTTTTCTAATAACTGTTTAGATACATTAAAAAAAAAAATATAAAACAAGAAAAAATAAATGTTAAATGAATTTTATATATACATTTATATTTTTTTTTTTTTTTTTTTTTTTTTTTTTCCATTAATTCGTACAAAGGAAAGTTATATTAAAACACACATAATATCAATGAAATATAAATTTTAACATTTGAAAGTTATTGCTTTTTTTTTTTTTTTTTTGTTGTGCTTCATAATTTTTGAAATTTATTAAACTTTCCTAAAATAAAATGAAAGAATGGAAAAGTACAATTATATCTCGTTTAAAACAAAGAAATATTTCTCAAAGTGAAAAATATAAAGACATATTATTATCATATAATTCTTTAGTTGAAGAAAAAAATAAACTATTGGCAATTATTGCTTCATTATCTTCAGAAAATATTTTCTTGGTAAATAATAAAAATTTTAGTTTTTCACATGAAAAAAGTGTATCAAATGAAAATAATTCAGAAAATAATTTAATAAAATGTGAGAAGTCAGATAATTATCTAAGTCCTATATTAAAAAAAGAGTTTCTAGAAGTCATTATAGAAAAAGGAAAAAATGAAGAACTTATTCTTTTCCTTAAAAATAGTTTAAATGAAAAAGAAAAACTATTAAATATATTAAATAAAGAAAATGAAATGTTAAATAACACTATTTCTGAAAATGAAAAAGAACTTTTTAAAAAAAAAAAAGAAGTTTTTAAATTGAATGAAATTATTAACAAAAATAATCTTGAAATAAAATTTTACTCAAAAAATTATAAAATTTTGAAAAATAAAATGGAATTAATTCAGAAAAATAATGAAAAATTATTAAGAGAGCATGAAGGCTTAAGATTTACTTATTTAAAATTACTAAGACAAATTCATGAAATGAAAAATCATAAAAAAGTTATTGATAAAGAATACTTTGAACTAAGAAATGAAATGTTTAAAAAAAAAGTAGAAAATGAAAATTTACTAAAATATTTATTAAAATGCAAAAGAAAACATAGAAAACAATTAAAAAAACTAGAAAAAGTGTGTTTACATATGAAAAGGAGCATATGGAGAGCTAAATATATTTTTTTAAAAAAAAAAAAATTGCGTGTTTGCTTATATTTGAATAAAATGAATGAATTCCATAATATAAAAAGGAGTTTACGAGAATTATGGTTAAATTATGATAATTTTCAAATATATAAAAATAATAGTTGCAAAAATAAAACAAAAGATGATATTGTAGTGCAAAATGTGATTAAAAATTTAAACAATAGGAAAAGTAAGAAGATTAATCAATCTTTTAAAATAATAAACAATTATTATAATAACTCTAAAGCCATAAAAGATAAGTTAAGTGTAAAACATTATATTTCTGACAGTAGCTACTTTAAAAATAAAAAATATAATATTTCGTCCAACAAAGAAGACATTTGTAAAGATAAGGTTAACAAAAATAATGATACCTTTCAAAAAGTAAGAAACTTTCTAAATGTTCATCCTGGTGGTATATTATGTTTTAATATTTCTTCTAGAAACTCTTCCAATTATAATACATTGATGGAATATGTAAATATAAAAGAAAAAAATAAATTAAGAAAAGGAAGCATTGATATATATAATAAAATTAAAAATTTAAGATTGTCTAACAACACAAACAGTTTTATTAAAAATAAAGATATGAATTTTTATGTAAACAATCAAAATTTTTGGAAAAATAATGATAAAGTTGGTTATGATAACCTCATTGTTACATGTGGGATGGATGGAAAAATAGCATTTATAAATATAGAGGATAACCAGTTAAAATGTACAAAAATTTTTTATATATTAAATAGCAAAATACCAGCTTATAATGTAAGTATACATCCTTCACAAATTTATACTTTAGTATCTATGGAAAATAATACTATATGTTTAATAAATAATGAAAAAAATAAAGTGGAATATATGTATTATGATCATAAAGAAAAAATAACATCAATTAATTTTTTATGTAATTTTAATAATTTTGACAAATCAATATCTTCTGAAGAAACAAAAAATTCTCTATTTTATTCGACAAGTTTAGACAAAACAATAAAGATATGGAATATTGAGAAAAATTTATGTGTCAATACTATTAATGTAAATGAGCCTATCACATCATCATCTCCTTCTAATTATGGAACAAATATATTAATTGGTACTCATAATGGATCAATTATATGTTACGATTTGAGAGTAAATAATAAAAATGTAATTAACTCTGTATTATATAATAAAAGTATGTTTAATGAAGAAATATATGGTTTAAATTATTCTCCAAATGATAATTTAATAGCAGTACAAGAAATTAATGGTAACATGAAGTTATTAGATACAAATAAAAGAGATTTTTTGCACATTTTTGAAACTCCATATTATATAAAAAAACAAGTTCCAAAAGCTTATCCAATTTTTTCAAGAGATGGCAAAAAACTTTTATGCTCATATGCTTATAATATGATTTCTTATGATGTCTTAAATTATTCATATTTCAATATTTTAAATAGTGACCTGGATGAAATAAATGGTACAAATTGGAATTTAAATGACAAATTATTAACAGTTCATAAAGATGGAAATATAGCTATATGGCAATAATTTTTATTTTTTATTTGTCCTAAATATTAACATTAAAGTTATACTTTTTAAATTTACATTTTTTCAATTTATATATTTTTAAAACTATATGCTTTAATGCTTTTTTACAAGTATCTCTTTTTTTTTTTTTATTGTTTCTTATTTTAATTATAAAATTTTTGTGGTTGAAAAAAAAAAAAAATTTTCAACATAAAATTTTCTTTTAAAATTAAATGTTTTATAATTTTTTTTTGAAGTGATAATAAATAATTTAAAAAAAAAATAAAAAGTTCATGTACACATATATATAAATTTTTTATGTCATTGTAATTATTGTATACCTCATTATTTACAATAAAACAAAAAAATTTATTCAAAAATGCTTTTAATTTAATTCATTGTTTTTTTTTTTTTTTTTTCTTTTTAATTTCAAAAAAAAAAAAAGGCATTTAATCAAATAAAACTTATTTTATTATATAAAAAAAAAATTTATAGACATTAATTTTTCTTCTTTATGCATGAAATAGGAAAGCTAAATCTTCTTTTGTTAACTTCTGCATAGCATTGTTAGAGTCTCCTATAGTACAATCAAATACTAACTGCTTTTTTTTTTGTAATTGAATAATTTTTTCTTCAACAGTATTTTCTATAATGAAACGAATTGCATAAACTGTTTTCGTTTGACCTATACGATGAGCTCTTTGAATAGCTTGTAGTTCAGCTGCTGGGTTCCACCAAGGGTCAACGATAAAAATTCTATTTGCTACTTGCAAATTTAAACCTTCTCCACCTGCTTTCAAACTTATAAGAAGAACTCTTAGTTGTTTGTCTTGATTGAAATTATACAATATATTATTTCTTGATACCATAGACATATATCCTAGTAATTTCGAACATATAATATTGTTTTTTTTTAAGTGATATTCAATTAAATCTAACATAGAGCAATATTGGGAAAATATTAAACATTTATCGTCAGTATTTTTAATGACTTTATCAACTTCCTCAAATATAGCTTCAATTTTAGTGCTTGTCTGAAACTCTTGAGTATTAATTCTATTTATAAAGCTTTTATTAATATATGTAGTTTCTTCTTTACATACGATAATTTCTTCTTCATCATTATCCTCTAACTCATAAAAAAGATTAAAATCAACAGTTAATGGAACGTAACAAACTGGACAACCTAAAGGATAATCTTTTGAATTTTCTTCATTATTTAATAAATTGACAAATTCCGATTTATCTTTATTTTTAAACTTTACTACAGAAATGGATTTTGATTTTTTGTTTAATTTTTCCATTTCATTATTATATACAACATCTTTGTTACACATTGCAATTGTATTAGTACTTATACATTCAGATGTTTTTGATTTTACAAAATTTGAATCTTTGCTTCCATTTAGATCACTATTTGAATTATTTTCTAATTCAAAACTCTCTATATATTGCTTTAAACATGCCTTATGAAAATTATGATTACATTTTGTATTAATATTATTTTTTTTTGATACATTTTCTAGGCATATTCCACACACATAATCATTTGATATAGCTGGGATGATTGTGGAATTTTTTTTTATAAATTTTCCTGATGGATCACTTAAAAAAGAGTTTCCAAAAAGAATTAAATATGGATGATCAGCTGCTTGCCTTAATCTACTCAGTAGATCAAAAATATGAGCATAATTATGCAGAACAGTGTTTGATTTAACATATTTATCAAATTGTGTAGAAGTTTGTTTATATAAAGATTCATAAAAATCCTTCTCTTCATTGGTTAATTTGTCTTTCCTTATAGTAATAATTAACGGTTTTAATTTTATGTCATTTTTTCTTTCTCCTTTAGTTCTCCTTAGTAATATTTTATCTAAAACTTCACTTTTTAAATAAAACATACTAGTAACACCTTCTCCGTTATATCCAAATGATTGTATTGGTTTTAAAATTCTTTTATTAAAATAGTTAAAATGATTTATTTTGGAATGTTTGCAAAGATAGCAATATTTGTTATCCTTCATTTCATAATTTAAAAGTAAACATTTACAGTCTTTTTTTGAACAAAAATAATAAGCATATGGATAAAATTCTAGGAATCTTATTAAACTATATAATTCTCCAATTCTATTTTGCAACGGGGTTCCTGTCAAACACCATCTATATCCTGAACAATTTAAATTTAAAATTGATTGTGTTGTTGAAGTAGTCCTGTTTTTTATCCTGTGAGCTTCATCTAATATTATTCTCTTCCATTGTATTTGATGTAATGCACTTTCATCAAAAAGAACTGTTTCATAATTCTTTAATTTTGATTTTCTTAATTTTGATTTTTTAACAATAATAGAATCATAGGAATCAAAAGAATCACTAGTGCTTTTATCATTTTCTTTAATATTTGAACTATCACTAAAACTTTCTTCATACTTTTCTTTTTTTAAACTCTCTATCTTAAATGACTCATCACTATCATCATTTTTATTTTTTTTTTTCTTTTTTTTTTTTAATATCTCAGTTGAATTAGATAAATTTCTTTTTTTTAATTTTTTGTTAGATTTTTTGTCATTTTGCAGTGTATATGTAGAATCCAAAGTTTTACTTTTTCCATAACTTTTTTTTCCTTTCAATATTTTATTTTTATTAATTTTTTCTTTAATTCTATCATCGATACAATTTTCTTCTTCTTCACTTTCCTCTTTGTATTTCAAATCTGTAACTATAACATCGTTTACACTTTCCTCTAACTCCTTTTTGTTTATGTTATAATCCTTGTTTTCCTCATTATCACCTTCTCTCTTTTTTATTTTTTCATTTTCTTCATTTTTCAATTGATTCAATTCTTGTCTTATATATTTTGCTGAAACTAATATTCTATTTATTAATTCTACTTTTGTACCAAAAATATGTTTTCCCATGGTTATTAAAAGAACCTTAAGTTCTCCCATATTTAATTTTTTAAGATCCCTATTTTCAATTGTGTTATTGCTTAAATATATTTGCAATAAAATATTCTTGCATTTTTCATTCATGTCTATATTATATGAATCATTCTCTAATATATTTTTTATAACTATATTCCATTTTATTTTATTTTTTTTTTTATCTTTATTTTTATATATATTTTGCACATTTTTATCAATCATTTCTTTATCAAAACCTAAATTACACAAATCAATTATTCTACTAGATGTCTTTCTAGATAAGGGAGAATAAATTGAATTATTTGAAGATGAATATTCACTGTTTAAACTTTCTGAGCTTAATACAATAACTTCCTTTTCTTCTATTGTTATCTCTTTATTGTTTGAATCATTTTTTAACTTTTGAGTATTTTTAATATTATTATTTTCATTTTTAGATTCTTTCATAATTTCTAATAGGACATTTCTTGGAGTAGGAACAAATGTATCATCGAATTTTTTCATTGCAACAAGTGCAGTATCTTTATTTTTTTTTTTTCTTTTTTTTAATTTTTCAGTTCTGATGGCACTTGGACCACAAAAATATTTTTTGTGTAAAATTAAAGTTCTTGGTAAAAATAATCTACCACAATATTCACAAGATATTTTATATTTATTAATAATTTTCCTAAAGTGTACTTCTACCATTGCATAAGATGTAATAACAATATCATATTTTAACAATTCATCATAAGATATTTTTTTAGAATTACCATGAAATACATAAACTTTCAAAATATTACCTTCTATAAATTTTTCAATTTCTGACTTCCATTGCATTACAGCTGCAATAGGTGCTATTATTAAAGTATTCCCTTGTAATTTATTCATAGATTCATTTTCATTTTTTATTCTAATATTGGTATCATTATCTATATCATTCTTTATTCTAATATTGGGATCATTATCTATATCATTTTTTATTCTAATATTGGGATCATTATCTATATCATTCTTTATTCTAATATTGGGATCATTATCTATATCATTTTTTATTCTAATGTTGGGATCATTATCTATATCATTTTTTATTTCATATTTCATTTTCATTTCATTAACCATTTCTAATGCACCATTTTCTATCTCATTTTCTACTTTAATTTCCTTCTTTATTATATTTCCTATTTTTATAACATCACTTTCTTCTTCCTTCATTTTAAATTCCTTATCTGATTCATCATATATTTCTATTATGTCATTTTCTAATGTTATATTCTCTTTATTTTCTAATTGATTTATTTTTTGGCATAAAATTAATGTAATTGCTTGGATTGTTTTTCCCATACCCATTTCATCGGCAAGAATTCCTCCTTTAATATTTGAATTTTCTTGGTTGATCATCCAAGAAATACCTTCTTTTTGATATTCTAGTAAATCAAACTTTAATTCTTTTGGAATTTTTAGTTTATTTTCGATAACTCTGTTTTCTAATTTCATATATTTACTTGAATTTAAATTTTCTTTTTCTTCATTTATTAAAGCTTCAATGCTATTTTTTACATTAGCATTTTTTAATTCATATGGTTTAACAATATTTTTTAACATCTGTGATTCTTCATCATTCAGTTCTTCAAATCCACCAAAAAAAATTTCCCATTTTAAATTATTATATATATATAATTCATATTCATTAAAATTACTAACAACTATATTATTTTCTAAATTACTTAAATATGCTTGTAAAAATTTATTATTTTCTTCATTATACAAAATAATATATAAAATCTTTTTACTGCAATTTATATGAACCCAACAACTTATATATCCAAAATTTCCTCTTGGATCCTTTGTTGGGTATCCTATTCTTAAACTATTTTTTTCAATTATTAATCCGCAAACTCTACATCTACTTGCCCCTAAGTGAGAAAAACACATATATATATATATATATATATACAAAAAAATAAAAAGAAAAATATATTTTAAATCTTATTCTTAATTATCTTATTCTTCTTGATTTTTAATATTTATTTTCATTTTTTTTAATTTTTCTACTTGAACGGGTTCTATTTATTAGTAATTTTGGGGTTATTTTGAAAGTGTCTTTCTTTAATTTTAGCTTCGTTACATAGTTAGTACCAACCCACTGATTTAACTCTTTGATATAAATACAATTCGATTCCACTATTTCTTTAAAAAATTTTTCTTTCTTTGAAAATAGCCTTTCTAAATTATCACCCATTTTAGATAATTTTAGTTTTTATATTGTCTTTAAAACTAAGTAAAATTTGATAGTTCGTAATATTAATACTTCATAATGAAAAAAAAATGAAAAAAAAAAAAAAAAATAATAAAGAAATATTAATTCTATTATTAAAATGTTAAAAAATATATTATATAAAGTTAAGATAATTCTCAAATATTAAATTATAGGGAATGCCAATTGATCTACATATTAAGAAATCATCCTAATATTTTATAATATTCTTATAAGTTCATTTTTATGTTAAATCATAATATTATTTATTTCTTATTTTATTTTATTTTATATTATTTTATTATTATTTTTTTTTTTTTAAATTAAGAAGAGCTATGTTTAATAATTAAAAAAATGTAATTTTTTTATATTTTAGAGTTTTAATTAAAATAATTTAAAATGTAAAAGGATATTCTTTTTTATCTTAAGATTTTTGTAATATATTTCTTATAAGATAGATTTTATATTTGAAATTTAAAAAAACACATTATTGTTTTTTAATTAATTTTTTCAATATCTTAAATAATATTTGTAAAATATAATTTAAAAAAAAAAAATCAATGAAATAAAAGTTAATTGTAGTTAATAAAAATATATATTGTTTTCTATGTTTTTATATAATATATTATTTTACATTATTAAAGATGTAATAACATAAATATTGATATACATATAATATTTTTTTTTTTTTTTTTTTTAAACACAAAATCATATAACATTTCCATTATATAAATTTTTTTATTATATTGTTATATAAAATTAATTTTAATTTTAAATATGAAATTATTCAGTTTTTTTATTTTATTTTCATAATACTTAAATATAAGTAAATGAATTTTCATATTTTTCACATAATTTTCCTTTTTTTTTTTTCTTATTCTCATATATATATTTTTATTACTTTATCTTTTTATATATTTATTATACTCAAAAATTTTTTTAATTATTCTCATACATTTTGTATATTTATTATTTTTTTTTTTTTTTTTTATAATAGTAATAAAAAAAATATTACGTGAATTAAACCAACACATATTTCCTTTTTATGAAAAAAAAGTTTTTAATTCATTTTTATAAATTGTTGATTTTGAATTTTTCTTATTTTTCTTTGAGATTAAAAAAATTTTAAAACATTAAAAAAGGAATTTTTCATACTTTATCATAATTATAATAAAAAAAAAATTTCTTCTAAATTACATAAATGCTTCTTCAACACATAATATTTTTATCAACCCATCATAATAGAAAAAAATATCATCAATATCATTTTCATTATTTTCCTTATGGACAATATTTGAATAAAGCTTACTAAAATTTTTTAAAATTTTAACATTATTATCATCTATACTATATTTTAAAAATTCTTCCTTTTTATCATTAAAGTTTTTATAAACTCTTAAATTTAATGGTTGATAATTTTTATAATCTTTTGAAGAGTTTTTTGTTTTTTTATTCTTATTAATTTTAAAAAGAGAATTTTTAAAAAAAAAAGTCCAAATATCATTTCTACAATAATAACTTTTTAAATGCCCACTAACATTTATGTCTGATAATTGATTGGAATTATTTAGTATTTCTTTTTTTATATTCTGTGAAAAAAAAAAAAAAAAAAAAAAAAAAATAAAAATAATAATTGTAATTTATGCAGTGAAAATGTATATATATATATATATATATGTATATAATTTACTGCACAAGCTTGTTTATAAATTTTAATTCCTATTTCTTTTTNGCCCACTAACATTTATGTCTGATAATTGATTGGAATTATTTAGTATTTCTTTTTTTATATTCTGTGAAAAAAAAAAAAAAAAAAAAAAAAAAAAAATAAAAATAATAATTGTAATTTATGCAGTGAAAATGTATATATATATATATATATATGTATATAATTTACTGCACAAGCTTGTTTATAAATTTTAATTCCTATTTCTTTTTCTACATAAAATTCTTCTATCATTTGTTTAAGTGCTTCTTTTAAAGCTTCTAATAAAATTGAATTCCCAAATTTTTCATCAAAATTTCCTTGTTCCATTTTTTTTTTTATAGTTATTATTCATAATTATAAATTCTTTTATTAATTTAGGAAATCATAATAATAATTTTATTTTTTTTATAAGTTGCAAAATGTAACACAAAAAACAATAGAAGTTGGTATTTTAATAAATATATAATAACTAAAAAAAAAAAATAAATGAAAGAGAGAAAAATATAAAAGATTAATAAAAGTAAAAAAAAAGGTTTATTTATATATATATTCTAATATTTAACATTATTAACACAAAAAATTAGAGAGTTGTTAGGTTTCAAATTTAAATAAAAGAATGGAAAATAAGGTAGGAATATATATAATTATGATAACATTATGCAGTTTTAAAAAATATATATATTTTTATTTGATCTTTGTAAATTATTATAATAAAAAACTATAATGTATCAAATAGTGACCTGTTACAAATATAAGTAGTATAAATAGTCCAAAATTAAAATACATAAAAAAATTATATATATATATATATATTTATTTATTTACATATTTTTATGTTTATGTATTTATATATACGTGTATATATATATATATAGATAGGTAGATAGAGAGATAGATAGATAATATGCATTTACTTGTATTCTTTCAAAAATATATAATAATATTTGAAACAAATTTCCTTTGAATTTTTTTTTTTTTTTATACAAAAGTCGAACTTTTAATTTTTTAAGAAATATTGTGTATTTTTTATTTTTTTATACACTTAATTTTTTTTTTTTTTTTTTTATGGAGAATGGGATTTCATTTTTTTTTTTTTTATCATCCATGAAAAAAAGTGCATTGCTTTTTTATTACTTATTGTAGATATGAATTCGTTTTTTATTTTTTTTTTTTCATTAACACAAATGTAAAATATTAAAAAATTAAGCGGAAATGTCATAAAATATTTTTAAAGATAAATATAAATTAATAAATAAAGAGAAAAACTTTTTTTTTAAGTACAAAAAAAAAAAAAAAAAAATTAAAATATTTTTTATTTTTTATATATTTAAATTTTTTTTTTAATAATATATTCTTGTGCTTTCAACTTAGTGTATTCAGTGAACTCATAAATAAAACAAGAAAAGAAAAAAGAATAACGCTTAATATTATAAATATTTTTTAATCCGTACATTAATTAATGAAATACATCTGAGTAGTATTTATTACAAAAAAAAATATACTTATTTTTTTTTTTTTAAATATTTTAATAAATACATTTTTTTTTTTTTCTTATATTTATTATTTATTTATGTTTTTATATATTATTTTATATTTTTTTATTTTATTTTTTTTTTTTTTTGTCCCAAATAATTTGTTGTGTAAAATTAAATAAGAAGAAATATATTAATTTTATATTTATGCGTATTAAATTAACTTTTTTTTTTTTTCTTTTTTAATAGTAATAAAATGAAAAATAAATTAAATGCTAAAGAAAATTTTTAAATAAAAAGAAACAAAGAATAAATAAAGAAATTATGGATTTACATTTAAAAAAAAATTATTATGAAGTTTTGAATGAGGTTATGAACATTAAAAAAAAAGTAAACTCTAATTTTGATTTAAATGAGAAAACAAATAAAAATAATAAATTAATAGATAAAATAAATTGTAATAATAAAGATGAAATAGATGACAAGAACGACGTAAGTTTAGATAAAAGTAAAAATAGCATTACCACTATAGAAAATAATGAAAAAAAAGATTTAGATGATCATGCCTATTTAGATAATTCTGATGAAATTTATGTTAATAATTATGATGATAATTATACATTAATTAATAATAAAGAAAAAATAGAAGAAAAATTAACTATAATGAAAAATGAAAGTAGAAATAATGAAATTATGAATAAAAGTTTCGAACAAAGTAATAAAAAAAATGAGGTTAAAAATAAAGATATAGAAAACAAAAATGAGAATAATAGCAAATTTATAACAAATAATTTTGTTGAAAAAGAGCATATGTCAAATAAAGTGGATAATAAAGAAACAAATAATAATGAAAAGATAGGAAGTGATAAGAATGAGTGTAATAAAGAGGAAATAAAATTTGAAAAAAAAAAAAAAAAAAGCGAAAAATTAAAAAAAGAAAGACAGAATGAAATAATGGTTGCTTATTGGTTAAAGGGTATTATTAATATATTAAACGAAGGATTTAGAAGTGGAGATATTAAAGGAAGTCATTTAGTTGGAAGAAAAATTGTAGAGGTTTTAAAAAAAGTGGTTGAAATATCCCAATGGAACAGTGTACATGATTTAATTGAAATTATAAAATATTTAGGAAAAGAAATTATAAAAAATAATAAAATGTACTTTGTTATACCTAATATAATACGAAGAGTATTAACTATAATAAGAACAGAACATTTTAAACAACTATATTTATATAATAATAATTATATTGATAATTTAAATAAAAGTAAAGATATAAATAATAAATTAAATAACAAATCTACTAATAATAACTTAATATACGAACGAGAGATTAAAAATTTTGAGAGATCTTTTTCTCTTTATTTCGAAAATACATGTAATGACAACACTTATAAAATACCAGCAACTAATACATTGAAACATTCTATTATTGAAGGAATAACTGAATTAATGGCAGAAATAGATATATCATGGGAGGAAGCTGAACAAAGAACTTCTTATGATTTATTCATGGAAAATGATGTTATTTTAACATTAGGATATTCAGTTGGGGTTGAAAGATTTTTAAAAACAATTAATAAAAAAAAAGATGGTATTTCCGTAATAGTTGTTGGAGGAGATATAAATAGAAGTGGATTCCGAATGGCTAAATTGCTAAGTGAAGATGGAGTTGATACAACATATATTTCAGATTCAGCAGTTTTTGCAGTTATACCGAAAGTCACAAAAGTTGTTTTAGGATCAGTAGCTGTTTCATCTTCAGGAGGGGCAATCACAAAAGTTGGAGGTTATAACATTGCATGTTCAGCACAATTCAATTGCAAACCTGTAACTATTGTGTTGCCTTTATTTAAATTAATATATGTTCCTTTATATGATCCTTTAAGACAAAATGAATTACAACCAGGCCCATCTATGATTTATAATGATACTGAAAATTTGTATGTTCGAATTCCCAAGTATGATTATATACCTGAACATTTAATAACTTTATATATAACTGAAATGGGTCCAGTAGACTCTTTTCAATTATATAATATTACGAAAAAAAAATATCATCCAGATGATTTGGATTTGAGTTTTGATTAAAAGATGAAAATTAGTTAAATCTCATATACAAATTTATATGCAAATCAAATGATAAAAAAAATTATGAAGTTTATTATATATATATATATTTCAATTTTGTAAATTTATATTTATTTATAAATTTTATATTATTTCCTATATAATATTATTATATTTTATTATATAATATTTTATTATATTTTTTTTTTTTTCTTCTTTTTTTTTTTTTTGTAAGATATGTACATATTAAATTTTGTGAACTGCACACGCTTAATGCAGTTACTAATGTATTCCTATTTTATTATCTTATGAAATTTTGTTTTCTTTTATGATATTTGTTATATATATAAGTATAAGAAATATCAGAAATATTCACATATAAAAAAAAAAAAGGAAATATATATATATATATATATTTATATATATAGTAATGAACTATAGTAAATACATAAATTTGCTTGTAACAATGTATACTTTTTATTTTTTATCTTTTAAATTAAAACATTTTTAAAGTAAATTACAATTTGATGGCAAGTATAATTTTCATTTAAAACTATTAGTTTGTAAGTAATTTCCTTCTTTTATATATACACGTTTTTACCTATTTTTTTTTTTTTTTTTTTATATAATCCTTTATATATTATTATTTTTATTGTTTTTCCTCTTTTTTTTTTTTTTTTGACAAAATATATTTAAATGTATAAAAAATTATTTCTTAAAATATTTATAATTTTAAATTTTTATTTTTTCAATAAAATTAAACGACATAATTGCTTATTTAATCTCCAAAAAAAGATGATTCATTCTCAATTAATTTTTTTGATCCATTAATTGAATTAATGATTGTATCTATATTTGTTTCTAATACAATACCTTTGAAAAAAAAAAATACATATATACATGGTATAATATAATAAATTTAAATTAATAATAAATTCTTTTGAATTAATTCTTCTTACCTCCCATTATTATTTCATCTAATATATAGTTAGTCTAATAGAAAAGGAGAAATAGAATGGAAATAAATAAAATATAAAAATGAAATAAATAAAAATATTTTTTATTTATTCAAAATAATATATCTTAATTTTCTCAAAATTTTTACTTGTTCATAATTGTATATTAAGTCGAGTTCACAAACATTTTCAAAATTTGCATCTAAANACTTGCACAAAAACCTAAGAAATATTTATAATTTTTACTTTTTATATAATTTGTGAGATATTTTCATTTATAAAAAAATAATATAATAAAAAAAAAAAATTATATTTTTAAACATAAATATATATATATATATATTATTAATATAAATTTTTAAATAAATAAAAAAGTAGATAAATACACCTAAAATAAAATTCATAACAATATATTTTTGTTTAAAAAATTAGTATGTGTATAGTTATCAATTATTAATGTGTATATATGTGAACAAAATTAAATTCCTTTCTTTTTCTTTTTTTTTTTTTTTTTTTAACTTGAATTAAATCCAAAATTCCTAATTCACTTTCCATAGCATCAACGATAAAAACAAAGTATAAAGTAGCAAAATGCCTAATTTTATTTTAATCAATATATATATATTTATATTTTTAGATATAATTTAGACAATATTTACTAATTTATTTTTATCTATTTTTATTTTTTTTTTTTTTTTGTTTAACCTATATACAACCTTTATATCTGAATCAAATAACTCATTATCTTCTATAAAACAACAACATTCATTATCTGGTCTTTTTGTTAGAATTTCATGAATCTTCTTAATTATTAATTGTTGCCTTTCATGATTCTATATACGAGTGAAAAAAAAAAAAAAAAAATTTAAATAATTAAAAGAATAAAAAAAAAGTATACAAAATTTATTTTTCTTTATTTTACACTTCCATCGTAAAATCGCAAAAATCTTGGTTTTCCAGAGTTATTAATTATTAATACACCTTTTATCATATTATAAATGTATAGAATGTATATTTTTGCACAAATGAAAATAAAGGTAATATACTTATATATTTTTCATTTAAAAAAATAAAATACTATTAAAATTAAAACTATTTTAAATATATGTTTTCGTATAGTGATTCATAATTTTTTCTTTATTTTTAAGAAAATATTTTAACGTACATATATATATATATATATATATGAAGAACTTGGTAATTATGATAAAAAAAAATATTTCATAAATATTTTTAGCTTTACAAGTTTATACTTTCATTATTTATATAAATCATTTTCATCATTCATTAATTATAAATTTTTATTGTATAATAACATTTAATTTTTACTAAATACAACACTTTTTTTTTTTTAATCACATTGTTTTTATTATATAGTTTTTTTTTTATTTTGTAATCATTTATCTCTAGGGAATTTTTTTTTTTTCTTTGAAATTATTATGTAATATTTATCATATAGATTTAATTATTTATTTTTATTTTTTTTTTTCTTAGTATTCTATTTATATTATATAATACATTTACATTAATTTTTTTTTGTTTCATTTTTTATCCTCACTTTTTTTTATATATGCTAATTATGAATTTTTAGTATTTATAGCCTTTTAGGTTATGTTTAGTACATAAATTCTTTTTTTTCTTTTTTTTTTTTTTTTTTTTTTTTTCTTTTTATT